TCTGCCTGCACCGTGCCCTCGACCACTCACCTACTTCCTTGCGCCGTTTGTACTCATTGATGTTGGCATTGACCTGGGCCATGGCGCGGACGGCTGCCTCCAGCGCTGAGTACACGCTGCTGTTGGCGGGGGTGTTCTCCAGGATCTTCCCCAGCAGCAGCGGGTATTTGGTGACCCTCTGCACCGGCATCACCAGGAAGAAGCTGAGGTCCGACGCACCCGTGTGAGGCCTGATGGAGAGAGGATTGATTGCTCAAGGTTGGCATCGAGAGCTTCCCCCCTACCCTGCTGCTCCCCCAGCTTCTCTGCGAGCATTCTAGGGGCAAAGCAGCACCTCTCCAGCTGCAGGGGAGCTTTGCTGCCTTGGATCCGCAGGCAAGCTGTACCCAGCAGCTTGGGGGGGTTCTGGCTGCGAACCCTGCTCCTCACCAGCTGCTGTCAGAGGATGCCATCAGTGCCAGCCCCGGGCAGTGCTCTGCCTCCCTGAACAGTGCTGTGCTTGTCTAGCTAGGAGGCACGGGATGGGTGCATGCTCCAGAGACAATGGGGAGAGAGGGTGGGTGAAGTGCAGGCAGGCTGCCAGCAGGACAAGCCTTCTACCTGCATGCAAGGTGTTGCTCATTTGGGAGTCGCATTGCCTGTGCCCTGAAACAGAGCAGTAGATCCCAGCAGCTCCTCTGCGGCCACTCCTGCTTCACCTATCTCTGACTCTCTGATGGTGTTTGTGATCCCTTTGATAGTTCAGAAGGGGTTTGGCAGGTCCGCCAGGGCCAGCCTGTGTCTCTGGTCAAGCTGGGGGACAGGCAGGAGATCTGGGTGACACCCCATCCCTTGTTTTGGGGTTCACCATAAAAGCCCACCAACCCATCAAGTGGCCCCAAGGGTGCAGGACAGGCTGACAGGGGTTACACCAGGCAGTGCCAAAAAGGAAATTGTCATGAAATTACACTCAGCCTGGTGGCACGTGCCCATACAGCAGCTTGTCCAGACAGAAGGAGGGCAAGGCCAGTAGGTAAAACAGGGAGAGGGAAGCGGTGGCCTCAGCAGCAAGTACCTACACTGTTGCATTCAGGGTGTCCAGGATCTCCTCCTGCAGCCTGGGGTCCTTGCGGTAGCTCTCCACCAGCAGGAGGGCATGCTCGTAGCTGGCACAGTAGATCTTGTAGGTGGTCTCCATCTCCTCCTTGAACTCCTGGAACAGCGTGCCTGGGGATGGAGAGCGAGGTGGGAAAGGATGGTCCTTTCCTGTGGCCTCAGGGAAAGGCAGAGGTTTCTCCCCAGCCTGCTGGGATGGTGAAGCTGCAGAGCAGTGCCAAAGGCACAGGTCAGCTCTCGGTGCTGCGCCACTTACTGATGCAGAACAGCTGCTCGTGCTCATGGGTGGCCGTGGTCGTGTCCTCAAGACCCTTCAGAAACCGTCTGGACATGTGCAGGATGTCGTCAGTGTTAGAGAACAGTCCTTCCAGGTCAAGATCAGGCAGCTGAAGGGAGGAAAGATACCCCAAGGTAAGCTAAATACATCACACAGAGGTGGACCATGTGTTCTGGAGGCACTCACCCTCCTAAGCACTCGTGTCCTTCCAGCTGCCCCATATAACACCTGAGGAGCTGGCGCAATGCTCTGTTTCAGGAGCTGTTGGGGATGCTGAGACCTGCATGTGCCCATGAGTGAGGCAATGAGGCCTTTTCATGTTACAGATGCAGGGTTAAAGCCATAGGATGGCTGTACTAGGTCTGACCCAATGTCCACCCAACCCAAGACCTTGGCTGGTTGAGAGAGACCAGGAAGATAGAAGGTGAACATGTGGTGACATCCCTGCAGTGATCTGAGCATCTTGCAGCTCTCAATAGGTTCATGCTACAGTCCCCAGACCCTGGGTAGGGGGGGATGTATCCTGCCTCACCTGCTTCTTCTGGAGGTGTGCTCGGATGTCTGACACACAGAGCTGGATGTTGTGGACATAGCTGGCCTCAGTGGTGATGAGCTCCTCCACGGCCAGCATGGCTCAGCTCCATCCTGTTGCAGGGCATCACCTCCTCATAGACACCCTCTTCAGCCTCAGCTGCATCCTCAGCATCGGGCTCTGCCCCGGGGTCACTCGCCATCTCAGCAGGATGCTCTGCAGGAGGTGGCAGGGGGTTAGGGACAGGCCACACAAGAGCAGCCCTGGGACCGGTGCTCCAGTGCCCAACCCAGCTGCATGCCTGTGCTCCCTCCTATGTGCTGGGGGCACCCCACAGCACACCTCTGGGAACACTCAAGCCATCCATATGCGTTTACAAGCAGGTCATGGATGGCACTGCAAAACCACAGAACCATGAAGTGCTGCAGGGCAGGAGCAGGCTGGCTGCAGAGGGCAAGCACCCACGTGCGGCAGGCAGGGACTTGCCACAAACACATGCCCAAGCTCCAGCAACCATGTGCAGGGCCAGGGTGCGGGCAAGGGGAGCCCCACTGCAGGCAGGGTCCTGGCAGCATTCACCCCGCATTGGGACTATGCAGGACTGCTCCCCAGGGCACAGTGGGGTTTGCAACCTCTGCTCCAACTCCTTGCTCCCGGGGCAAGCTGTTCCCTCCCTGCCGTGGCTGCCCACGCCTGGCACCTTGCCTTGCCTTGCCTTCAACAGTCCTATTCAAAGTACAAAGAGTGTTTTTGCAGTGCTTGAACAAAAGATGTTTCTGTGGCAGGGAGATATGGTTTAACAGTGATGGGGATGGGGAAAGAAGCTGTGGGCGCCTCTGCCAGGGGCACTCCCAGTCCCTGGTGCACAATGCCTGTGCCCTGCCCAGCACAGCCCGCTCCCCTCTCCTCTCTGCCTGCAGAAAGCGTGAAAAATTGGAGCTGATTCATGCCATTTCTGTCTCAGGGAACATCTTCTGCTGTAACCGATACTGAGGAGGATGGAGCAGCTCCCAGAGCATCACAGATAGCACTCGATCCCAGGCAGGAGGCCTTGAGAGACAGACATGGCGCAGCCCACACCAGCGCAGCGCACAGCTTGGCTGGATCCAGACCCTGG